AAAACAAATCAACATCTCCGAACACTAAAGTAAACTAACAATATCAGCAAGAAAAAATATTTAAGAAGTAAAAAAGTAAAATCGTCCAATTTCTCTAAGGATATTAAGATTCTCATGTTGAACAATTACATTTTCTTTAAAAATTCAACATGGCATTTTTTAAATTTTAAGTGCAGGTTTTTAAAAAAACACAAAAGAACTGTACTTCAATGGCCTTTCCTATGAAAAAAAAAAAAAAAAAAGAAAAAAAAAGTCAAACAGGAACTGGAACATCTTTGAATGTTGTGTTTACCTACACAATACTTTTTTAAAAAACTGATCAGATGAATAAAAAATGAATATCCAACAGACCAACACCCACTCCAAGTAATAAAAAAAAGTTTCCATTGTCTTGAAATTTTAATTATTTATTTATTTTTTTTTTTTTGCATTTATGCTTAATACAAATTTAGTTAGATAGGCTTTTAGTTTTTTAACTTACATCTGATTTTGTTTACGAACCACTCCCGAATTACTGCTTGGAAAGGCGTAAATATTTACAATGAATGGGAAAGACAGTAAGAAACAAGTTAAGATACCAAACCTCATTGTTTTACTGATGCATTATCATTTTTATTATTATTATTTTTAAAGAACGCCATCTGTCATCTTTTTTTTTGTTTCCTGGTTTAACGCAAATGCTTCCCTTTTTCTGGCTGCACGCCAATCAGTTTTAAAATCTTTTGTTTTGACATAAATTCTAACGCCTTATTAATTTATTTACTACTTTATCAACAGTTTCGATTTCTACACCAAAACTTAATGTTTATGAAAAACAGATACACTTTTAAAAGAGCGAAATTCAGTTCTTTCGAAGAGAAACAAAACGTGGATAATGAGTTTTGTTTTTTTATATCATTTTTTTTTTTCTTTATCTTATGAGGTCGGTAAAGGGATGAAAATAAATACAATATCGGTTTTTACTTTTTAGTTTTTATTAAGTCGATGATCATTAAAGGAAGAAAAAAGTCTGCAGGTATGAATTATTCACAAGTTGAGCGCGAAATTTAGTTAGAAGTCGAAATGACAATGTATTTTTTTTTTTATTTGAAATAGGTAAATTCATCAACAAGCAAAACTCCCAATGACAAGATTATCAAGGAAATTAAGAATAAGATTTAAGAAAACTTATTCATACAATTAAAAAACGTAAACGTTATTGAATAAAAATATATATTATGATCGCCACAGACAGGTTTTTTTTAATGAGGAGCTGAATGAATGTATCTTAAGAAAAAGACCGCTATAATGTCAATCAATATTAAACTAAATTAAACAGATTTTATCAATTAAAATGAGTTTAATTAATAGCCATTATCTTTAAAACTTGGAAAGTTACTGCAAAAAAAAAAATAAATAAATAAATAAAAAAATAGTTGAACTTTTTTGAAGCAAAAATTGAAAACAATTTAAAATCGTTAGTCATGGCAACGAAATCTGGCAAACTAAACTTAGTTGAATAACATAATGGATTTATTTTTCTGAGTGGTGGAAGTATGTTATTTTTTTTTTTTATTATTTTAATCATGAAAGCTGAAAACTTAGTTTCTGCTATTTTTTTTTTAAAAAAACTATTCCAATAAGTTCGTTGTAAATACAAGCTGTGGTTCACGTTTTTCTTCATTGCAAAAAAAAAAAAAAAATAAAATTTCCTGATGCCTATATGTAAAAAAGCATGACGAAAACTGGGGAAAAATACGTCGAGATGTAGATAGAATAATAATAATAAACTTAGTTTTACTTTATCATTTCGAAATACCAGTTTTTGGGAGTTTTAATGTTTTTCCAATAAAATCAAGCAAATAAAAATCGAAATTTTCATAAAAAAGAAAACAAAATGATTTTTGCTGTGATTTTTTAGCACTATTTTGCTTAATAAAAGTTTTCAAAGTTAGCAAACTTTAACAATAAGTCGAATTCTTTAAAAAAAAAAAAAAAGTTTTAAAAAACAAATACAGTTTTTTACTTTTTAATCTTTCGAGTTAGTTAATGGAAAAAGTTTTTAAAAAATATTTAAATAATGTTCTGTTCTTTCTTGCCAATTGTAAGTAAAGTACTGTTTTACTTTTTTTTTCATGTAAATCGCAAAAAATTTATGTTGCTCCTGTTTTGGTGTTAAATTTATTTTATTTTTAAGCAATTTAAAAAAAAAAAAAATTATTCTCGAAAATTTGGTCCATATTGTATTCTTATGACTAAATCACTTCCTTTATTTTTTCTTTAATTTCATTTTTTTTTTTTAAATTTGTTTAACGCGGAATTTTATCATGAGGACAATTTGGTGACCATTCATTTAAAATTAGGAGGAGTCCGAAACATTAATACGCCCCTCCCCAATAATAAAAAAAAATGTTTCATGAATATCTTCGTGCAAGGTGAAAATTTTATTTCTTGAACATAAAAAAAGAAAAAAGTTTAAAAAACGTATATTGAACCATTCTTTTTTTCCATTTACAACCATATACATTCTTTTTGACTTTAGAAAAAAAAATATTTACAAAGAAGAGAGTTCACAGAACCGACAACCTGACTGTTTATTTTCAAAATTAAATATAATTAACACGGATACTTCATCTTGGACCCGAAATGTCAACAAATCACCAGACACAAGATGCGCCTTTTAACGAAACTAGCATTTCCTTTATTTACTTACTTAGTAAATAATAAGTTTTATTTTTCATTCACAAAGTATTGATATTCGGCACTTGTAAAAAAAAAAAAAAAAAAAAACAAAAAACAATTTGACAAATATACTTTTTCTTATTCAAATCTATTTTTAACATTTTATTTTCTGTTTTCATTCTTTCTTTGTAGATATTTGAGACACGAAAAATATTCTTTGTTTTTAGTATCTGGGTTGGGGAAACCCGAAATGATTCTTTTTTTTAACTTTTTTTTTTTAAGAAATTATTCAAAAAGGAAGAAAACACCTTTTTTTTTTCTTTTTTCTTTTTTGGTAAGTTTATTACCGTCTTCACTCGTGTTACATGACAAACAAATAATATTCATTTACTTACCTCTTTAACTTTTTCCCTTCGTATTTTCGTAATTGGATCATCGGGTTCTCCACCCTGAACTCCAAGCCCCATGTGATTGATAGCCACATTCTCCCGGGCAATACGATCCTCTTCTTCTTTCTTCTTTAACTTTGCATTTTGCCTCTTGTTTTTATCTTCGTTAATCAACTTCTTCAGGCCTTCGGCCGTCTCTATACTAATGTTCAATCTCTTTCCGAGATCGTTAAGACTTTGTTCGGCATTCCTGGTCGATTTTTCGCCACTTGCCTTATTTCCAAAATTACGAGCATGATGATTATGATGCCCGGGTCCGCTGTCGAACGAATTACCCAGAGGCTCGGGCATAAAGATACGGTGTGCTCCCTTCGTTAATGTATCCACTTTGACACGGTCGCGCAATTCGGGCAGAAAGAAAAATCCACCAAAACAAACCGTCACAAAGATGGCAAAAACTAATAGGACGATATATTTCTCCCTGAATCGGAGAATCCGCCTCGTGTTTGGTATGGGAACTCCATTAATATAACGCTGATAAGTTGGTAAGATCCCCGAAGCGGCTGCCATCTTGTGCGTCCACGTTACAACATCACTCAGTGAAAACATGGTACAGGAGAGCGGTTAGCCAAGGGAGATAACCCACACGTCTTATATTGACTGTTCGTAGAACAGCAATGAAACAACCACCTTGCTTTCGTTCGTTTCTATTCTCTTCTTTTATTTATTTATTTTTTTCCTTGCACGGCTACTGCTTGTTGTTGCTGTTAAAACGGTAACACTATAACTACTACTAGCTGTATAAGTGAGTTACGCTTCAGTGGTAGCCAGAACTAACGGTTCCTATGCAAGAGTTGGTCAGTGAGTCTCCTTACTCGGAAAAATAAATCAAGTTCAACTTATGTCATTAAAAAACAATCAGAACTTGTTCTTGATGGATCGATCTGATTCAACCTAAATACAAAAAAAAGTGAATGGGAAAGTGAACGTTAACTTGGTGAGGCTTAGTTTAGTACTATGAAGCTGCAAAGGCAAAACTATAGGTAATTATATAAAGACGGTATATCAACCGATGAACAGTCGAAGTTCCATCCTCCTAAAACTGGCATGACTTCAGATGACACTTCATGAAGTTGATTGAAAGAAATAAATGGAAAACTTAAAGAAAAAAACTTTGAAAAAGCTGAGATATTGTTTTCTTTTTTACCAATATTACTGCTTTTATTTGTGAGTTTAGCTAAGAAAGCGCCTGGTCAATGAGCTTCAACTCGCAAAAGAAGATGCTAATTTAATTTTGTCATTTTTATTTTGTGGTATATTTAAATTTTTTCAAGCAACAGAAGTTGTAATTTGAACTTGGACTTATTTAAATTTGGTTGTTTAATGAAATTAAAAAATAAACTGTTCGTTATGATTTCAAAAAGCCAAACGTGAAAAAAAAAGAACTCAGAAATTCTTCAATACGACTTTTTAAGTATACTTTTCTTTTTTTATTATTGCCGTGGCATAAACTTCTTTTTGCCGATTGGAAATAAATCATGTGTAGGATCTCGAGAGGCAATTTAGCACTTTTCTCTTTCAGCAGTCAATCTTGTACTTGTAAAATCCAGGATATCCTTGGTTCTTGGTATAAAATCCCCACCTACTGACTGGTAGAAAACTGACTTGCGCGCATGAGTTAGCGTCTTGGTCTAACAATCCAGTTCTTTCTCCGTTCGTATTCCCTCCAAATTTGTGAACTGGTAACCTTATAAAAAGATTTAAAAAGAAACAAGAAAAAAAAAACTGCGAATAAATCCAACTTTCTAAGCGTCGTCGATAGCGCAACAGTTAAAAAAAAAAAAAAAAAAAGGAAAGATGCTTTCTTGGACAAAATCAATGACCGTGACTTCGTTCCTCACTTAGGTTCTCTCCAAAATTTAATAACCTCTTGTCAGATTTTTTAAAGAAATGAGTGAAACCTGTAGCTATTGCTTGATTGTTACAACCGTGTTCAAGCAGCCTCGTGGTGTAAAGATCCACCACACTCACAGGTTTAAAGAGGAAAATAAACACATTTTTGCTTCTTTTCTGTACCTACATAACATACGCTTCCCAGCAGCTGAGTGTAAGTGTCTGATGCTGTCACCGTCACTGTACGCAAGTAATAGTAGCAGTTATAGCAGTTGCTTTATGGCGGTTTGAGCCGAGGACAGACAGTGAGAAGTTCAATGGTTCTAATATTGGGCTTCTACACACACACACACACACAAATCACAAGAAAACCTATTCTTTATTTGGTAGTCATTCACAAGAGTACAGTCTAGTTAGTAAAACGTAGTTCTATTTGAATGTCATTTTTACAAAGTTTTTTTTTTAATACCATTCTTAAAAGTGAGAGAAAAAATGCATCATAAAACCTGCGATATCCACGAAATGAAATTTCTCGCTGTGATTAAATTGGAACAAAGTGACGTCTTTTTGATGCCCACACGAAAATGGAATGAACTGACTGTTAACGGCTTGTGAGGCTAGCGTGTTGACGGCCACAAGGCGGACATTCAACCGAAAGGTTTTCGTGAGAGCCTCGTAAAAGTGTTGACAAGCTAAGTAAGATACAGAATTAAAATACAGATCTCAAACTCTCTCCCTCTCTCTCTCTCTCTCTCTCCCCGTATCTTCTCTCGCTATCTCCCTCCTTATCGTCTCTCTCTCTCTCTCTCTCTCTCTCTATTTCCCTCTCTACTCCGTACCTTTTCTCTCTCTTTCCCTCCGTACCTTCTTCCTCTTTCTATCTCTCCCTATCTATCTATCTATCTATCTATCTATCTATCTATCTATCTATCTATCTATCTATCTATCTATTATTATTATTATTATTATTATTATTATTAACAACTAAGATAAGCATAGACCTAACCTATTTTATCACTGTTTTCCTTAATTTTGAACTTATAGTCGAGGAAAAGGACACAATCTTAGGGCGTTCTGTAAGGAATTAACTTACTATGAATAACTTGCGCAAGCAATAGCACTAAGATAGCGAATATGTTCATTAGTCTACTGGCAAAAAGTCACGGTGTTAAAAGAAACTTTTGACTAGTTATAGCTTAGAGCTTGTGGTTCGGACAGAGAAGCTGTAGCTACGCTTCTCAATAGTGAAAGAGAAAGTAGCAAGTTATGCACACATGTCAACATTATTAACTTCATCATCGAGCATACGTCAAAGTTCTTAGTGTACAGGCACAGAGTCACCAACAAGAAAAGATAACAACAGTAACTGCGGACATCAGGGAAAGCTCTAGATTATCAGTATAATGGATCAAAGGACATAGAACTCGCTGCTCACAAAGGTAACCTTAGTAACGAAGTGTATTCATCGTGTTCTTCTTCTTCTTCTTCTTCTTTTCTTCTTCTTCTTCTTCTTCTTCTTCTTCTTCCATGTGCCATGTCGCTTCAAGATGTAGGCGATAATTGTTTTCCACGATTTCCTAACCTTTGTAGCTCTTAATAAATGGTGTCCTTTTCTTATCTCTCTGAAAACTTGTTCCGCTGTCCATTTACTCAAACTTGCGTTATTTTTCCTCTGTCCTTTGTGCCTTCAATCTGTCCTGTGAGTATCAAATTTTCCAAGCAACATTTTCACATTATGTACCCTAGAAATTTTAGTGTATTCTCTACGTTAGGCGTCCCATTATTATGACCTTCTGCCATACTAAGCCAATCTTCGTAAATAACATGCAGGCATGTGTATATATTTATGTCACAAAGAAAAAGACTCGTTGATAGCAAGTAATGAATGCAATGGAATTTACACAAACAAATGTATATTACATAATCTTTCTTCTATTTACACTTGAACTATTTTCTAAACGAAATATGGACATTCTATATCTTTTATACGTTTGCCCGGTAAGGCTGGATGGATTTTGATGGAAGTAATTCCATGTTTACGATTTGAATCATTGCACCACAGACCTTGGATTTGCTATTAGCGAGCTATCATGATCCTCTACCTACGTAAAGGCCTAAAGGAATAGTTTTCCTTTTTTCTCATATATATACATTCACTTTCTCACTCTGTTCACTCAGCTTAATCTATCTATCTATCTATCTATCTATCTATCTATCTATCTATCTATCTATCTATCTATCTATCTGTGTGTGTGTGTATTTTCATATCTATCTATCTATCACTTTCTCTACATTATCTAACTATAACTGTCTCTACATTATCTATCTATCTATCTATCTATCTATCTGTATGTTTGTGTGTGTGTATTTTCATATCTATCTATCTATCTATCTATCTATCTATCTATCTATCTCTAACCGTCTGTACATTATCTATTTTCATTAACTATCTAGCTAGATAACTAACTCATTCTGTTCCTAAGTCTATCTATCTATCTATCTATCTATCTATCTATCTATCTATCTATCTATCTATCTATCTATCTATCTATGTATGTGTGTGTGTGTATTTTCATATCTATCTATCTATCTATCTATCTATCTATCTATCTATCTATCTATCTATCTATCTATCTATCTATCTGTTTCACCATGTCTACCATAGCGTGCTCGTGTACGTTTATTTGAATGAAGCAATAGTGGCATTAATTAAGAAAGCAGTTAGCTATACCTCAACAACACTCGGTTTAATCCAAGCACACTAATGAGACAACCAACTTTTTTCTCGTCGAACATCGGCCTAACAATGTGTAGACACAATCAAAATGATTGACGATTACAAATATTTTCTACGGAAAAGGAAACGGAGTTTTTAAATTTCTTCCTGTAGTCTTCAATAAAAGCTAAGGTGTTGCTATGTCTCTATGAAGCACCTAAAGCTCACAGGCCAAATCCTCATCCATCGTATAATTTGTCGTGAGTCCGTTATTATTATTATTATTATTATTATTATTATTATTATTATTGAGCGAGGGGGTAGCAAACAACAAAATGACATTGGGGTACAAATATACGAAGTCGAATGTGTCGATTATGACACAAAATCTGTTAAGGCTGCACCCGGTACACGCATCCCAACCAAATGTGCGTGTTATGGTGGCAGTTTTGATAATAGTATCGCATAAGCTCACAAGTGAGATTCAGAAATGTCTGTATGCCGGGAAAACTCATTCCGTTCGGGCGGTCTCCGTCTATCAAAAATAGCTATACAGATGCAGAAAGATGTGTACTTATGTTTCATAGGCTACGCAAAAAGCATTCGAAAAATTACGACACCAAGGTGTATTTTAGCTGCTTGGAAAATTTCATTTGTTCAGAAATATATATTAGAATAATCAAGAACATTGACTAAGGACAAACCGTCCGCATAGGAATTGAAAATGTTTTCAGCAATTACACAAAAATAGAAAGGCACAATCTTAAGAAAATAAGATACGCCAATGACACTGTGTTAATGGCAGGCACAAAGAATACTGCAGTTACTTTTGGACAAGCAAGAAGGTACAGACTAACTTGCACTTTCTCACGTTAATTTGTTTTGAGTTTTATTTAAAGAATAACTAAGAATTTGACATCTTATGGGGTTAATTTTTATCTATTAGCATATTAAACAATTATTATCTTTATTTAGAATAAGTAAGAACAAGTAGTATCTTTTTTAAATTTTTAACTGAAATTAACAAATATTTCTTTTTATTCACAAACCCAACCGTTTTACTTTAAATTAAAATACGTATTAAAAAAAATTAAAACTTTGAATTTTTTAATACATATTTTAATGTTTTATATTTTCAAAATTCACATTACTACATCACATTTCATAATTAAAGAGTTTATTCCACTGGAAGACAGTGTGCAGCAGTGAAAATTGTAGATCATCAACATAATTCCATAGATTTATTTAACCAATTTAAATATAAATTTACTGGAATTATGTAAACTAACGCCGGATGGCCTTTCAATAAGAAGATGGTTAGAAATTATTGAAAAATAATAAAAAAAAAAATGTTAACATTGCAACATTGAAATGAATTTTCAAAAACGTTGTGGTTTGAATTTTGTAGATGGCTTCTTCTTTTTGTTTGTCATGGAATCGATGTAGATGTCAGCGTATCATTTGAAAATAATTTAACGTGAGAAAGTGCAAAGTCGCCGAAATAAGGACTAACCAGGAATTGTAAGAAGACTGAATGTATGGTCGTTAGCATTAAGGATAGGTCAAGATACGAGCTATAAATTGCAAACGTCAAAATCAAGTAGAAAAATTGAATTATCCGGAGAGTGTTATAACAGATGATGGAAAGAAAAATGTGATACAGAAACCCGAAGGTGCGTTGGAATAGCAGAAGATGCCTTCCAAAAAACTAAACAAAGTATTAAGAAACAAGAAAATTTCGTTAGAAACAAAGAAAACTGTACCTTAAAACAAAGAAAAGAATGCTGGACTGCTATAGAATATCAATCCTCTTATATGGCATTATCGCCTTGCTTGGGGTGAAATGATTTTTTTTTAAAATTACCCTTCCGAGTAAAGGCTACTCAGCAAACATAAAACCAGCCTCTGCAAGCAGAAACAGAAGGGTCAAAGAGGAGAATCCACAGTGTTTCTACCTTGACACCAAGGGCTTATCAGAAACGATTCAGTTTTGAGAGGATAGGTTTTCCCGTCGGAGGAGATGCTCTTTTTGTAGTATCTGTTCCATGACGTAGCTGTCCTCTCTCTCCTGCTGATGGACAGAATCCTCGGAAATGTTCCGTAACATCTGTTCCGTAGCGCTGGTATGAACGGCTATGACTAGCTTACACAAGCTAAGACCAGCTGAGACCAGTTTAGACCAGTGGCCCAAGTGAAGACACTCGGGTCCCGACGTTAAAACAAACCAACCTTGTGTTACAACCTTGGTCAGTGGGAAGTCAAAGGTAAATACCCAGATGATATACAGTTTATACATCAAGGCAATATTCAAAATCAATTCAACCTAACAGAGAAATCTCTGACAAGCCTAATACAGAGGAAAACATGACCAAGAACTCTTTATATATTATCATTACCATTTGACACGTCTTCTTGCACCGTGTTGAAGACAGGTTCTTTTGTTTTAATTAACTATTTCGTAGACAGTGAATTGAAACAAAAGAACCAGTCTTCAACTCGGTGTAAGATTAAGTGTCTAACAGATAAACACTTGCCACGTAATCTACACATATGAAACGCAATGTGTATGCCTAGAAAAAGGTATTTACTCGTCCTCGGAGACGGAAAGGAAAACTGCAGGAACACTTTAGTGATATTATTATTGTTACAAATAAATAAAATATTAAAATTGAAAATTATAAATAAAAAATAAAACAATAAAATTTAAACTTCGTTTAAAATGAATTAAATAATAATAATAATTATAATAATAATAATAATAAAATTATTCCCAGCATGCAACAAAAACTGTTCCTGTCGGAAATACGGACATCCTTCCAAAAGACATGAAATTCAATTTTTTCGCCCAAGAATTATCGGGATGACAACACTTGTGTAACTTCCCACCGTGATAGGACTTGTGATATTACGGAGTAACTTCTCCCTTTTATAGCATGAACATTACCACAATGGTAACGTAAAATACACACACACATACACACAAATACATAAATAAAATTGTTTGAAATTACCAGACAATTTGTCATGCCCAAAAGTCGAGAGAAGAAACAGCAGATTGACATTTGACCTAATTTCTCACATTACTACTACTCCTACCCTGGTTTGATTGTCAACTACCGAAACAGAATTTTCTCCAGACTGTTATCAATATCCACTTGGTTAACGAACTTTTTGCTACGCCGAATACCAAAGGACTTACTCATCACTCTAAAGAAAATAAATATATTATTTATTTTAAACCCTTGAGTCAGTTCATTTTATTCCCAAAGTTTCCGATAAAATAATTATCCTACACCTATCCACATTTGGCATCTCAACTCCAGTCATTTTCTCACAGACGAGATGTGGCTTCCCTTTGTCTTTTCTACAAATTATTTCATGGCAACTGCTCTGACGAGCTATTTTCCCTGGTGTCCCGACTACATGAATTTAAGCGTACTACTAGATTGGCATCTTTTACTGTTGAAACAATTCAATGTAACCGCCGTTTCTACTTCAACAGTTTCTTTTCTCACACTTCTCGATTGTGGAACTCTCTTCCCCTTACTTGCTTCCCTGATAAATACAATCTTCAAGAATTTAAATGCAACGTCAAACGTCATTTTCTGATGCCTTCGTCCCCGTTCTTCTTTTTATCCTTTCCGCACCCCCCACTTTATACCCAGTCGTTTCTCTTAGTTTTACTCTCTGTAACCCCTGCGCACTAGCGGCACACCCGACTTGCTTGGGGGTGAAATGCTTAAAAAACAGATATCATCGGCTGAGCACGACGAATTTTTAGGGAAAATGGTAACAAAAATTTGGCGGTCACGGGACATTGAATTCAAGAGAGACAGAGGGAAAACCAGGAATAACCTCCCTAACAATCATATGTAAATGCTTGGCAGAGCAGGACACAGAAAGTGTGGAGAGCTACGATCGTCCACACCCTGAAAAGACACTGCCCATAAAAGAAGATAATGATTATGATAAAATTTCTATATATCAAACAATTGCTTAAGAAATGATAGTTTATTAAGACAAGATACATCTAGAAGCATCAGCTCAAACACTTTACATACTAAAATTGTGTTATAAAAATGTAAATTGCAATTTAAAGTTTTACCACAATTATTGGAATTTTATTTGTAATACGATGATTAGGCGATGACTAATTACGAAGACTGATATAAATTTGTTGGGTTCTATTGAAAGTTTATTTTTTTAATCTTCAATTGTATTGTCACGTGAACTATTTAGTTTTTTTGCTATTAATTTTCGATTCTAATAATGAACTGAAATTTCACCATCCATGTTAAACGCGTATAAGCGAAAGTGTTCATTCCATATCGAAATTAATTTACATAAAATAGTAATATGCAAAGTCGTAATTATAAGATTATTTTGTGTGGAAAAATGATTTCTATATTAGCGGAGATACTTGGCGTTGTTCAGAAGAAATAAATTCATCATAGATTACATTGCTATGTTGAAATTAAATAACGTGTTGATTCATTGTTTTGATAATCAATCTGATGCCATTGCAAAGACTCGAGGGTTTTAGATTTCTCAAGCATATGACGGGAGGTCTCCCTTTTTCCATATCAGATTGTGACGTGTCAACCAGTAGTTGGTGGGAATTATGGACAAATATTTTTTAAAAACAGAAAATAATTATAGGATGGACATTCCACTATTTATTAAAGTAAATATATTGTCTATGTATTTAACACCAGTAATTATTTTTCTTTAAATCAGAAAATAATTACTTCATCTAAAATAATTTATTTGATTTCATATTGCTTTTTTAAAAAAGTATTTTACGCTTAAATTGCTTGTTTATTTTTTGTTTTTTTTTTTGTCAGTAAAGTAAAAATGTAAAAACAGAGATTGATTCCATGAAAAAATCTTGTTAATTCAAATATATATATATAAAGAGAGAGACTAGTTTTGGGCGGACTCTATTTAGA